GCTGTTCACCAGTTCCAATATGATGTAGCGAAATCAATCCTTCTTGAAGTTTAGCTCGCACAAAATGACAATCGACTTCAATATGCTTCGTTCTCTCATGGAACACAGGATTCTTGGCAATTTGTAAAGCTGACTGGCTATCACAGAAAACAAGAAATGGATTAGTACATGGCACATTTAGCTCCTCAAACAACCTGCTTAACCATACCAATTCCCCTACTACTTTTCTAATGGATCTGTATTCAGCCTCAGCTGAAGAAAGAGATATAGTCTCTTGTTTCTTTGATTTCCAGCTGACAGGACTTGTTCCCAACAATACAATGTAACCAGTAACTGATCTTCTTGAATCAGTACATGATGCCCAGTCTGAGTCACAAAAGGCTTGTACCTTGTAGTCATTAGTAGAAGACATGAGCAAACCCAAAGTTGGATCTTTCTTTAAATATCTAAGTAGATGATATGCAGCCTACAATTGAGGCTCTCTAGGTTCCTGCATAAACTGACTTAGATGTTGTACTCCATATGCAATGTCTAATCTTGTATTGGTGAGAAAATTTAACATTCCAATCAGCTTTTTATATGACTGAGGATTTTCCAGAAGTTTCCCTTCACTGGCTTTGAGCTTGATTGTACAATCAAGAGGAGAAGCTAGACTAGAGTATTCTGTGCAATTATACTCTTTGAGAAGATCAAGCACAAATTTTCTCTGAGAAATAAGCATTCCAACCTCAGTATATAGCATCTCCAAACCCAAGAAATAGTGCAGCTTTCCCAAATCCTTGATTTTGAATTGGTTATGAAGATAGTTCTTTACCTGATCAATCTCTTCAGCATCATTTCCAGTAAGTAGAGTATCATCTACATATACAGCTATAAACACAGTGGAAGGACCTTGTTTTCTATAGAACAAAGAATAGTCATTTAATGAATTACTGTATCCCCTATACTTCAAGGCATCAGACAATTTAGCATACCATTGTCTACTGGCCTGTTTTAAACCATATAGGGACTTATTGAGTTTACAAACCATGCCTTTTGTATCAACACTCAAGCCCTGTGGAACATCCATGTATACTTCTTCATGCAATTCTCCATGAAGAAAGGCATTGTTGACATCCAACTGGTATATATTCCAGTGTTTCTTTACAGCAGTAGCTATAAAAACTCTCACAGTTGTCATCTTGATGAATGGAGAAAAAGTCTCTGTATAATCTATTCCATAGTGCTGAGTGTAACCCTTCACAACTAGCCTTGCTTTATACCTCTCTATACTCCCATCAGCTTTATGTTTTATCTTATAAACCCATCTACATCCAACAGCCTTCTTACCAGCAGGAAGAGACATAAGTTCCCAAGTATCATTGTCATGTAGTGCAGTCAACTCTTGTGTCATTGCATCTTGCCAAGCAGGGTTCATTGCAGCCTCATTAAATGATGATGGTTCACAATCATGTGACACACTCAATATAAGTGACTGACTATCAGGATACAAGGATGTAGAGGCTATATGATGGTGTTGTGAAAAAGATGCATGTAGGGAAGTCATGTAGTCTTTAAGATAAACTGGGGTTTTATGAATTCTAGTAGATTTTCTGATGGAAAGATCACATTCTGAGGGTGTGAGATTTGGTGAAAGGGAAGTAGTCCCAATGAGATCACATTGTTCAGGCTCTAGAGAGGTGAGATTAATATCATTATCATCAAGAAAAACACTATCAGATGTAGAACTTGAAGAAGGATTACTGGTAGAAAGATTAGTGATTTTAGAAAAAGGAAATACTGTTTCATGGAACACAACATCTCTAAAGATATGTATTTTATTGCTGCTCAAACTCAACACTTTGTAGCCTTTAACTCCAAAAGGATATCCTAGGAATACATGAGGGGTGTAGCTCTAGGCTCAAATTTTGTTCTCTGATGTTTGTGTGTAGTAGGAAAACAAAGACACCCAAAGCTTCTCATATGAGAATATTGAGGCTCTTGATTATACAATATAGTAAAAGGACATTTGTTGTGAAGGTAGGTAGAAGGAAGTCTATTGATTATATATGTGGCAGTAAGTATGCATTCCCCCCAATACTTGGTAGGTAATTTGGATTGGAAAAGTAGAGCTCTAGCTGTTTCTAAAAGATATTTATGTTTTCTCTCTACTACCCCATTTTGTTATGGTGTATAAGGACAAGATCTTTGATGTAATATTCCTTTGGATTGAAAATAAAGGACAGATTCTTGATTCACAAACTCAAGACCATTATCTGATCTTATTGTTTGAACACTTGTCTTAAACTGATTTTCCACCATGTTGACAAAGGATTTTACAATGTGTAAGGCATTACTTTTACAACTCAACAAATGTGTCCAAGTAGTTCTACTAAAGTCATCAACCAGCGTAATGAAGTATTTAAAATTGTCATGAGTGGACACATGATAAGGACCCCATAAGTCGACATGCAGAAGCTCAAAAATCTTTGATGTATTATGAGTCTTAGGTGGAAAAGATAGTCTAGTCTGCCTGGCCATAGGACAAATGTTGCAAGTAAAAGACTGTTTAGATGAAAAGTTCACAGGAATGGATGTAATCCCTTTCATTTTTATAAAAGGCACATGCCCAAGTCTATAATGCCACAACAGATCACTACAAGAACCATGAGATAAAGGAAGTACAGCACCAGCCAGTACATTATTTGTGTTACTAGGAATTGTGTCCTTTACAGCTGATTTAGTATTTTGAGAACTGAATGAAGGCTTGTAAGAATGACAGATGGTACTACAAGAATGAGAAAAACATTTACATTGAGAGCCTATCTTATTGTTATGAGAAGAACAAGCCATTGAAGATGAGACCTGTGAAGCTGAGTGACTATCCTTTTTTAAACAATCTGAGCAAAAGAAGTACAATCCATCTTGTTCTTTACCAATCTCCAGAGGCCTCTTCATTGAAGGGCCCTGCAAGGTACAAGACGAGTTAGAGAATGAGGCAGTACAATTGAGATGTAGAGACAAGGAACTAATCGAAATCAAATTGTACTTAAAGGAAGGAATAAAAAGGACCCTGAACAATGTGATTATGTCATTGATTCTAACATTTCCAACTTTGGTCACTTTAACTTTGTATCCATTTGGTAATTTAACTAAAAGAGGATATGGTAGATCAGTAATATGTGAGAGATGGCTGACATCAAAGGTCATGTGATGTGTAGCTCCTGAGTCTAGTATCCATAAATCAGTCCTTGATTTGAGACATTCACACGACAGTTTATCAAAATCAATGGATGAGTTGCAAGCTATCATACCTGCAAAGTTTGCAGCTCCACAAGTTGCTTGTTCCTCAGAATTAGCATTTTCAGGTTGTTCTAATTGAAGGTGTTGTAACAAGTTAATAAGTTGTCCACATTGTTCATTAGTGAGATTAGCACTACATGCTGTATGAGCATCAGTCTTTCCCATTGAAGAATCTCCAAAAACATTAGCTGCTACTCCTTTACCTCTAGTATATATCCTTTGATTATTGTATCTTTGCTGATTAACACCTTGTCCACTAGAAGAGTTGTTTTGATTAGGATAACCATGTAATTTGTAACACTTATCAATGATATGCCCTGATCTTTTGCAGTGTTCACAGAAAGGCCTTGGCCTATTGTTCCCAGGATAATTGTTTGGTGCATAGTTTGTTCTAAAAACTCTTCCTCCTGTTGATGAACCAGCATTACTAGAGTTTGATCTTCCACATGATGAATTAGATGAACCAACACGTACAGATGAATTCATTGAACTTCCTTCAGCAAACATCTGACCTTGTGGTTTAAACTCCCTTTGTTTCTCTTCTTGTACGAGTAGAGCAAAAGCTTGAGCCATTGATGGTAGTGGATTCATCATTAGAATACTACCTCTAATAACAGTATAGACCTCATTAAGCCCCATTAAAAATTGAATCAACCTTCGATCTTGTTCAGCCTTATGCATGATCTCTTTACCTCCACAGCTACAAGCACAACTGCATTGGTTCTTGATGCTCAGATTACTTAGTTCTTCCCGGAGCTTCTTCATCCTAGTGTAGTACACAGTGATATCAAGAACTCCTTGACTTAGATCATTGATATCCCTTTGGATTTGAAACAATTTTGCACCATTTGTTTGATCATATCGATCTTCTAACTCTTTCCATAATTCTACTGCATCAGAAACATATTCAACACTGTCTGCAATATCTTTGCTAAGAGAATTAAGGATCCAAGATATTACCATGTTATCACATCTCTCCCATTGGCAATATTGTGGAGATGTTGAAGAAGGGCGTTTGAATTCTCCAGTAATGAATCCTAATTTATTCTTCACAGACAACGATCTCATTACACCTCGTCGCCATGATCGATAACCAACTCCTTCAAAAGCTGCTGGAACTAAGATCAGACTTGGATTGTCAGATGGATGTATATAGAGAGGGTTACTAATATCGATGGTGTTCCCTCCTGTTCTTGATGTGGAAACTTGGCCAGAAGTAATCTCAACCATGGTGAAATCGATTCACAGGAAACAATTACAGAAGACAAAAAAAAACAGAACAAGACCTTCAAGGATAAGCTCAGAAATTGACTGTAAGATGAACTCGATTTCTTCAGATATGATTTGAAACTTTAATTGACAAAAAAAAACAGTGATCTACACCCGCTCTGATACCATGTTGAATAAAAGAACCATGAATTGTATAGTTATATCTCCATTGATGGAGCTTGAAGAAGAAGCAGATTAGGAACTAGAAGAAGAAGCAGATGTGAAGAAGAGAAAGATCACCCTTCTTACATGTATATTAATAGAGAATGGTATAAAACCATGAATGTAAAGTGTGTTTACAGATGAGTTTGCATATCTATATATATACACACTACTAACTCAATTAACTAACTATCTACAACTAACTAATGGAAATGTAAGTTGTTATGTAACTAACTAATTGAAGTGTAACTAACTAATTGAATGTTTACATATACATAAATCAATACATGGAGAGAAACAAGACTCAAACTCTGTTGGATGATAAACAGAGTAAATGGGAAGATAGAGAGAAAAATAGAAGAAAGATTAAGCCAATAATTGATACTCCAGGTTTGCCAGATGAGTTGAAGGAGAAGATTTCAAGAATGGGTGTTCAGATTTCACAAGTGAAACTTGTAATTCAGAAAGCTCTTTATGGTACAGATTTGAGTTATCAGCATATGCGTCTGTCAATCCCCGTCAACCAAGTGGTGAGTAAGGATTTCTTGACACCACAAAAGAAAATGGTATTGGAGACGAGAGATATTGTGTCGAACAAAAAGAGCAAGATTCAGTTCAACTTGATTGAGCCTTCACTTGAACAAACAAAAATTCATTTGACAAAATGGGACATGAACGAAAGCTCAAATTATGTGTTATTGAATGACTGGATGCAAGTAGCAGAAGGAACAAACTCAAGTCTGGAATGGTAGTGCAGTTGTGGTCATTTCATCAACATTTGGCTCTTGTTTTGGTTCCACCATAACTTAGATGTTCATTTTCATGTACAACTATTTACTGCAGTTTGCCAGATTTTGTTTAGAATTAGTAAATTTTTTGTTTATTTTTATACTAGCTCTTTTGAAATAAGATTCTTGATTGACTTTACTTTTAGTTGGTACTTCACCTTTCTATTTTGTACTCTAAAACTAGAAAGATGATGCTTGGGCAGAGCACTGTCCGACTCATTATCCATTGTCAGTTGGTAAAAATACCACCATTACTTGTTTTGAGCTGATCCATCCATATCATTTGTCAATACTGATTACCTTAAAACTGTTCTCCTGGTTACCTTTTTCTTCTTCCAAGGTTGTTCTTGTTGAACCTGATGTTGTTTACATCCAAGGAAATCAAGAAACGACAATGACACGTCCTTTTCAGTTTTGAAGTGATGTAGTCTCATAATATCGCCCTTGATCAACAAAATGAAATGACATCACTTCGCTGGCCATACAAGCTCCAATTTGCGCCAACATGAGAAACAAATTCTGCTTTTTCACAGTTCACTTGGCTCGTTCTCCTCGGTCCAAGAAAGCCTCTTTTGAGTTTCCGCGCTACCAAGATCACTGTAGAAAATAACATCTATGACTTGTCTAAATCCTGTATATATGGGTACTTCTATAGTTCCTCTAGTGGTGTACATGTTTTCATCTTCAGCAATGTGTAGGGCACTCTCAAAAGTAAAAATCTTAACTTTCCACGCCAATATTATCGGGCAATGCATCTAAGAAATACACATCATTTTCAGTGAGATCCTGACCACTGATAGAAACATCCTTTGTACCAGAACTCAGGATCTGTTTGCTAAGCCCCATTTTATATTGCTTTCAAAATCTTATGTTCATTGAATCTATCAACATTGAAAGTAGCACCAATCAAGGAATTTGCAGTTGTAAAGATACTCAAAAACTTCCAAGAACTAGTCCAAATTAATCTCAATGCTTCTCGATATACTGAACTGTTTCCTTGATACTAATGTTCTCCCTTGACTCGCATACATATACAAGTCTGGCAACTTGTGAATGTTTATTACAAGGATAATTTGCTTGAATATTGTTGTTGCAAGAGAATATAAATGTAATATGGTTAAGATCTCTGTTTTTGTAGCTATTATGTTATGTTGCAGACCATATATATCATCTTTTGAGGACGGTAGAAAGAAGGGAATGATGTATTTGAGGGTCTACTGTGTTATGTTTTTGGATCAGTTCGTCTTGGCTATTACCCTAAATCATTCTCCCGCATTCTTTTAGTGAATTAATGGTAAAATAAAACGTTCACAAGTGTAGTATTCCCCTGTCCACTAGCAAATTAACCAAATGTATGAACTAGCACCATACATTTCATTAAAGGTTTCTCCCAGACTTTGATCCTTAGCTACAACTTCTTTTTCACTTGTCATATAATCTCAAACCAACATGTCGCGGACCGACTTACTTGTCACATAGCTATATTGAAGCTCATGCAAGTAAATACATCAAACTCCTTAGGCATCATGGATTGATCAATACCACTAGATTTATCCTCTCTCGTTCTGATTCACCAAAATTCAGTTTGGTTCGGAGATTCAAAGAGCAGTCAATACTGCCAAAACAGTCCGGAGGACTTTTATCAAACACATGGACTTCAAGATCAAAATATAGCTAATGATAATTTTGTTACATGATTATACATTATCTATACATTATCCGTATTAATTAACATATATATATAATAGGGAAAAGGATCTGATATACTTCTCAACTTTGTCATTTAGAGCTGATATACCTTTAATTATAAAAGTGGCTCATATATATCCCTACTTGTAAACAAATGACCCACATATACCCTTTTTCTCTAATGAAAAAAAAAATTTAATCTAAATTTTTATTTTTTTTCTAAAAAATACAATCCCATGTGAGTAAATTTAATCCTTGTCAAACATATTTTTTTGACTTTTTTTTGTTTTAATGACTAATTTATAATTATTATTTTGATAATCAAATTTATTTATATTTCACTAATATTCTTATAAAACTTATTATAGATGACCAAATTTTTTCTTCGAATACGAAATTAAATTACAATACACACAAAAAAATAGTTTAAATGTTTTTTCTTTAAACTAAGGAATGAAAGAAAAAACAAAATAAGAATAAGAAACTCAAATAATTATAATAAAAGAGGTCAAAAAATAATTTATGTATGAAAAAAATTAAAATATACCTTGAACTTTGATAAAAGAATCATATATACCCCTAAATAATTTTTTTTAAAAAAATTAGAAGTAACAAATATAAATTTAAAACTAATTTTTTAATTTCCGTTAAATAAAGGGTATATGTGAGCCATTTTGTAACGGCAGGGGTATATGTGAGCCGTTTGTTTAACGGTAAGGGCATATATGAGTCACTTTTATAACGAGGGTATATAAGCTCTAAATGACAAAGTTGAGGAGTATATCAGACCCTTTTCCCTATATAATATAAATGACCATTTTGATGAACTCTTTTTCTTATAATACTAAGTAACCGTATCTACTTTTGTAAAATTTTAAAATTGAATTAAAAAAATTCAAATCTAGTGAAAACTTGTTTTTGGATCAAGATATAGTTATTGATTTCTATTTAAATTATTAAACTTAGGATAATGCATAAATGATCGAAATTTTAACGATAGACTTCAACTTAATCACAATTCTATTACCTCCAAAACTTTAATATGAAATAACTATACCTAAAAGCTAGTGTGACATAGAGGGCTGAAGGCAAGTAATGAGTGGAAAACTGGATACGTGTCCTTTTTTAATTGTTAACTTTATAACTATCTAGTACACATAATTATTGATATTAAAACTTATATATATTTTAATTATTTTTATTTCTTTCCATATAAAAAATTATTTTAATTTCTTCCTCACTTTAAACTTTTTGTTTTTTTTCTTTCATTAATTTTTGTCTTTTCACTTTTAAATATTTTTGAAAATGTATGTGATATATATATAAAATTTATTTTTATGTTTTATTTGATTTTTTTCACTTATTTTTATATTTATTCTAAATTAATTTATTTTAAATACGAGACATCTGAAATTAAATTTGAAATCAAATAAAAAAAATATAAAAAAATAATAAAGTAAATAAAATCAAGAGAAAATGATCAAAGATCCTCCAATCTATAACTGGATTTCCAACTACACACTTAGAGTCGTAATACCCCCTGAGCTATTTTAAGGCGGAATATAAACAACCCTAAAACTACACAACCACATTCTTTCCTTGTAGTGTGCACCACTCCACCCCTCTCTCAACCACATTATATATTTTTTTTAAAAAAAACGTTTTTATTTATTTATTCTTCTTCATCTTCTCCACTCTTTTCTTTCCCTTGTAACTCTCCAAAACCTCTATCTCTCTCCACGCCTCTCTCATCACTCCCCAACCCCCCTCTAATCACTCTCCACCTCCACTCCCACCTTCTATAACCCGCAAATTAAGTATCAATATTCATCAGCAACACCACAACAACTACATTATTAGCTATTTAAACCTTTCTTTTCACCTCTTCCACTCAAATTTCATAATTGTAATGTTAATTTTAAGTTTAAAGTTCTGGTTAATAGTCTTATAATTGAGTATGAATACGCCATTTTAAATCTATTTTTAATTAGAGGAGAATTTATGCTTTCCACCCTTGAAGAAATTACAGAATTATCGGATTGAGTAGAATCAATTGATTGTTGTTGCTCAAATTTGTGAAATTTTTATTGTGTAGTTTAGGCTCTTCATTGGACGTTAGTTACACTTTTTTTGAAACATTTATTACTCATTGTTTCATAATGTATTGTATTGTACTATATTGTACTGTATTGTATGGTAGATACAATGTTTGGTTAGATTGTATTGTTTGTTGTTGTTTAGTAACATTTAATTGTATGGTTTGATTATATCATACTCTATTGTAATTTATAAATTTACTTAAACATCCTTAATTATTCTAGGGTAGGAGGTTTGACTAGATTTAAATAATTAAGGTAAAGGGTAAAATAATATTTTAAATTTTATGTAAAGATATAATTAAAAAAAGAAATTAAGTAACAATGGGAACACACCAAATTGGTAGTTCCATAAAATAGGGGTTTCCATTGTCACGTAACAACGAAATTTAACAATACAATACAATACATTTTAAGTAACAATTAAAACAAACATTGTAGGTATAGTAACAATACAATACAATACAATACAATGGATAACAATGATCCAAACAAAGTGTAATAGAGACAAAAAATAAGATTTGAAGGTTGATAAATTTTGCAGCAAGAAAATTAATGACTTTAATTTATTTTTTTACTACATAAATAATTGTTTTAATGATTATTTGGTGATATTTGATAGTTAATGGTTGTGAGTATTAGTGAGACAAGTTATGAAAAAGTATTTGATGAGATGTATGGGTGAGGAGAGGGGCTGCCACAGTGGTTCAACAATGGTGATGGAAATGTATAGATAAGGAGGGTGTTGAATGATGAGAGAGAGAGAAAAGGAAAAAGAAATGAAAAATGTAAAGAAAATAAAATTAAAAGCAAAAGTTGAAAAGTGATATTTAACAAAAAGATACAATATTTTTGAAACATTTTTTTGATCCGTTCTTTGTTTCTCACGTGCCTTTAAGAGAATGAACACACTCTCTGCCATGTGAAACATTTAGGGGTGCATTTATTTCTCGCTTTAAATAGTTTAATGGGATAATAAGACACCTATAAAATATAAATATGTATCAGAGAATTTGAATATAGATTCGGATGGCATTTGACCATTTTCTCAACAAAAAAAAAAGAAGAGAAAAACAATGAATGAAGGGGGGGAAATTCAAATAAAAGGTTAAAAAAATCATAAGAATATGCTTAATTTAAATACAAAATAAAGAAAATAAGAAGTTTTTAATATATATA